AATGGGAAAAAACGCATTGCTGGTTGGGCTATTTAGATCTGCAAAACTTCTTAAGCATAGTTAAATCTATGATAATACATCTGTTGGGAATTAAGCTCATAACATACCCTGCTTGTTTTTGAAATTAGAAAGTGTTGACTTTGGAAGAGTTCAAGCCAGTAACCCGTAGGTAGGGTTAGCAGTCCCTGACCCAGCTGTTTACCCAGGGTTCTTCAGATGCTTAAAAGTAAATAAAAATATCATTCACTACCAGTTACCCTGCAAGCCACCTTCTGTTTTGTTCTTTTTGTTTTCCCTCCCTTCCTTCCTCCAGAACCAGAGTGATTTAAATGTGAATCTAGGATCTAAAACCTACGCCGAATAGCTGTTATACGGTTATCGCTTCAGGGTTCCTTAGCTCAGACATAGCCCATCTGTTGTTTGTACATGCTGCTGAGGACGCAACAGTGTTACTTCTGGTGTTCATCATGTTCCTGTGCACACTGTTAAGGGTTGAACATTCAAGTTTCCACTCCAGCAGAGGCAGCTAAATTTCTCCCAGTCCAGATGAACTGAGTTAAGACTGTAAGAATATAAGAATTGCATAATCTCATACAGTAATGCTGTATAAGAACCAGGATCCTATCTCTGATTGAGGCAAAGAGCAGATGGCTCGGGAAGAGGTCAGGAGTCAGACAACATTACAGTCTTACATCCATAGTGCACCCTCCTATCTTCCAGTAATCTACAGCTCCGATCTACTAGGTTGACCAGGCTTTCAGTCCCTCAGAAAATGTCCTCTCACAGCTCACAGGCTGATATGTGCCCTCAGCTCATGAAACAAAGAGTTTTGGTAGCCTACAGGTCAGACCTCTGAACTGAACTTAGGGAGTCCGTAAAGAATCATGCATCACAGCGCAGCAACGCTTCACTAAGTCATGCTTAACTTTTCCCCCAAAGACTAGTAAGGCTGAAGGTCAAGTTGTCACAGGTCCAGTGTTTGTGGGGGCTATCAGAAGACCACATGGAGCCTTCCCTTCCAGTTTTATCACCTGACAGGGGCTAGTGACTTGAGCTCTTTGTTCATAGAAGCACTAGAGAAAACATCAGCCACCCTGCGCTGCACAGCCCTTTGCCTGAGCATTGATACTGACGTTCACCTCTAACAGGCTGGGACTTGGGCCAAAGTATTGTCTGGTCTAAAGCTACTGACCTCACCGGCTTACTTCAGAGAACACGTTTGTACCTTCTACACTTGTGCCAGTTGGCACATACTGAGCTTTGCTGGGAAGGTGAATTAAAGTGGTATTTTCCCCTGTGGAATCCAGAGAAAGAAAGAAAATCTCAGTAATCCTTTATATTTTTAAAAGAGATCTTTCGGCTCATCTCGTGTCATCAGGTCATGCTTATCTACAGGGGTGGTTTAACACTGAAGTGGAAGAGTGCTGCACTGTGTGGGCACGTGCACATGCGTGCGTGTGTGTGCGCACAGAGCAGGTAGGGCCGACGGACAGTGGAGGACCAACTGAGAGTGTGCTACAGTGTCAGGGCTAACAGGGAAGATGACGGTGAGGAACGCCACATTGGTCACACACACTCAGGGCACTGTGAAAGGAGAGAGAGAAAGGACTGTGAAGATGCCAGGTAAATATCTTTTATTAGTCATTAAACAATCATGTCATGGTTTTGCCTGTGGATCCCACGGTTAAATCCTTCCACATTGCAGAAAAGCACCTGGCCTCAGAGGGCTGAGTAGAGCTCTCACTAGCAAGCATCCTAAGCCAGCTTTCTGTGGGCTGTGTTGGGGACTAGAAAAGGGAACATAAGGTTTCCTCTTTTGTCTGTAGGAGCTGTGCATGCCTGATTGTCTCTAGGCAGCCAGGCCATACCCGTTCCTTTTGCGCTGCCACCATTTTTTCTCTGATATCTGGCACAGCACATACTACAGTTACATCTTTTCCACCCATCTCAGCTGCTGTGAGAACTTTTCCACCCACCTCAGCTGGTAGAAATTGTGTTCTAACCATGAAATGCTGATCAAAAGTAAGACCTTAAGGTCAATTACTATTATGCTTTAAAGGAAGAAAATTATACAATACCACTGAAACAGGAAAACCAGCTATTCTACTTTGGGGTGGGAGGGGATGACATGCCCTAAAATATATTTTCTCATCCAAAGATTAAACCTTAGGAAGCCCTAGACAATCATCTTCACTGAACGAATTGCTTGTCTGACCTTAATAGTTTACTACTAGAAGTTCGCAACAAGAATAGTCTCTGAAGACTTAGCTATCTGTATCATTTAATTACTGTACTCTAGATCAACCTCTCACGTTTCTCAACTGACTTTTGGGCCAGGTTGGCTTTTTACCGCCAAAGGAGCCCTCATTAAGATATCTGATCTCTTACTAAACGTTAACTTTGTCAGGAAGAGCTTTAGCACCCCATAAGCATGGTAAACAGTAGTATAACAGCTTGGCATAATTTCCTCTATTAGTAACTTTAAACATCAATCTCTCCACAGAGGGCATAAGGCATTAAGGTCTAGAAATCCACAAGCATTCTCCCTCAAATATTATTTACAGCAGTTTATAATAATACTTTAAACTGGTACATATGTTTCATTCCATATATTCTTACAATAAAGTCTGAACAGACATTTCTGTGTTTATCACGTAGCTGATAGTTACCAATACTTCACAAATTGCGAAGCTTTGCAGAAGGATGGACAGTACCTTGCCATATAAAGTTGGCCATGTCATGTGTGAACAGTAAAAATTATATTAATACTGTGACTAGATTATAAATATATTACAATCTGTAAGTCTGTTCAGATGTAAGATCATTACTTTTTCTTTTGAGTACACAGACAAGGGTGAGGCCCCCAAAGTTATCATGAAAGGAAAAAAAAGTTGCTTTTGAGAAAAGCAGACTACTTTGCCAGACTACTTGTAGCTCACCAAATTAACCAGAATACAAAACAAACCAAAATTTTTTTAGAATTTCCTTTGCGAAAAGAAGCTAAGGCTCTGACATAGTATTTCTAGCATCAGTTTATAAAACAATCAGCATTCTTTTTTTTTTTAAACTCTAATTTCCAATTTTAAATGCCCCTCTCCCTCCCCCTCCCCCCCTTTTTTTCCTATGGCTTCCTTACTAACAAATTATGTGTAAGAATGCAAGGGTGAATGAATAAAGTTACTGCTGAAAAGTCCCCACTTTCTCAAGTGTTAAACCTGAAACTGGATGGTTTTAGTTCTTTCAATCTAGCCCCATCCGGAGAAAAATAATTTAATGTGACTTTAAAGATAGATTTTGCATATATACACATAAGGAGAATATGAGGGAGTGCAAATGTCTAGACTCCTGAAACTTAGGTCTGACAGCATGACTGGGTTATTCATGCTGCCTTATTAATGCACCTAACAAACGTATCTAATTTAGGAGACTAGTTTTCCTAGGTGATAGATGGAGACAGATCTTTCAGGTGGTAATTTGAGGATGTTGGCCTTACATTGATTGTGAAAAGGCCAGTGTAACTCCACAGATGATATAGGGAGCCTAGGAGGAGTAACCACCTATGTTAGTTAGCTCATATTGGGCAGACTATCATGCTGCACACTATCATGCTGCAACCTTTATGCATATGAGTAAATGAGTGGAGGCAGTCTTTTAGTGTGTTCAGTAGATTCAGTAGCTGCCTTTGGTGGGAAAGAAAAAAAAAAAAAAAAAGATGAGTAAGGTGAATGACTGTTTCCTTGGAGTACAAAGGAATGGCAATCTACTCTGTGCTTCTGAATAAGGCCAGTAGCACATTACTGCTTGGGCCTTGTCTTTGGAAGACACTGAAGCTTGACACACTGCAGAACAAACATCCAACTGAAAATGGCCAACTGAATAATTTTCTTCAACGATTTTAGCCAAGGAAATGCATGGACATTGAATAAGGCAGTTGTTTTAGCCTTTTAACTACCTCTACCTCCAATAAAAGCTGGAATGCAAAAATCTCTTGAACTCAGTTTGTCTGTAACCATATTAGAAATCCCAGCTCATGTAATGTACCTCTGCCAAAGGCAGTGCTAAAGACATCTGGGTCCTTGAAACGTTGCTTTGTGTTATGCTTTGAGTGGAAAGAAAACAGTGAAAACCAAAACCACTAGACAGTTTACAAAAATTCCAAGAAATGGATGTGGGTCTTGAACTCAGAAAATACTTCCTATATTTGCCAGTTACACATCAAGCCTAACCTGAAAAGCTTGAAAGTAGAAGGACTTATTATGACTTGGAAGAATTAAGAAGATGGCTGGGGAAAACAAACAAACAAACAAAAATATAATGCCATTCCAGGGAATTTCAGCAAGAGAAGGGCTACTGGCTATTTTTTCTACTGCCTTTCATTAAGAAAGAGTATCAGATGATGACTACAGCTGAATAGGTTTTACATTCACTGGTTACTCATGCTGCTAACAGTAACTCCCAAACCATAGCATCCATTGCTTGAGTTGATTGCGTTCCTGAACACAAAGGGGAAGATTCTCAAGGACACTTGACTTGCAGCAATGTCTCGGCCTGTAACTCTTCTCTTGCTTTTGAAAACGTCCCAAGCCATTGAAAAGAAGGTTTAAACTCTGTTGGCAGTCCTGTACTGGTGCAATATTACTCCGTATATCAGTGGACTGGACTAAGGCACTGACTTGACTGGAGGCTGAATGAGTTTCAGTACTTTGCAGTGCAAATCTGGTAAATCAAAGTTCATTGAAGGTACTGCAAGTATTCTAGACTCTACTGAGCTTTAAGACCTGTCAGATGACACAGAGACAAAGGCACTCATGCCTAGACACCCCATAGTCTTACAAATACCATTTCTTGTGCTCTGGAACTGACAATGTATCACTCAGCTGTGGGTCAGTCATATGTGATCACACAAGAGAGAAAATAGAATATATGGTGTAGCACAAAACAGAAAAGAAGCCAGGAGCTGATTAGCTGAAAAAAGAAGGAATGAGAAAAATGTCTCTTACCTGGTCAAGATTGTTGTAAAAATCTATACTGGCTGCACACAGGTATCTCCCAAGCAGAGTTGCATGGGTAGTAAAAATTGTGGCAACAGGAAGTTTCTGAGATCGAGACAGTATTAAACCCACTCCTGCCTGCCACTCATGGAAGTGGGCAATTATGTTGGGCTTGTCATCAAACTGACAGGAAAGCTGAAAATAATTAGAAAGAATATACATGAAATTATCCTGCTTATGATCCTTGCCCCAGAAACCTCTTTTTTTCATGCCTTCTTCTGTGTGCCTGCTTTCTTTCATATGACAAAGCAGTACAGCATTCTAAGTAGTTGTGTGTCTTGATTCCCATCAGCCCTAATCCTTAGCCCAAGAAGCACATGTGCCTCACTAGTGCTTCATAACAGTATCCTCCCTAGAGTGTTGGGGAGCTCTGGCAAGCACAGTCACTCTTCTTTCTTTTAACTTGCTCTTCTGCTGTTGAAACTCTTGTTTGGATAAGAAAATCATGAGCACCTATGACAGACAGATGATTCTGCAGATCAAGAAAGTTTCCTTTCTTCAGGTAGGCTGTGGTAGAGTGACATGTGAAGTTACAGTGCTGTCATTAATTCTTTCTGTTTGCCTCTGTTCCCTGTGCAAGGTAGTATCTAATAGCTGAGATATGGCTTGACTGGCTTTAAGGACAGTTTGCGAGTGTGACAACTTGACTACCATAGGAGAGGAAAAGGGATTTTGAGATCCTACCTGTAAGAGCATCCAGTAACAAATAAGGGAGTTGAGAAGAAACAGAGGGGGATGTGACAGTAAAAAAACCAGCAGATTTCACACAGGGCATGTCCCCTCCCCCCCAGGAAAATAGTTAAATGACCACTTAAGATTTAATTTTTAAATACAAATTTGATCTACATCAGGTATCAACTTCCTTAAAATCATAATTTTCAAACTGGAGAATAGGAACCACATCCCAGTGCTTTTTGCCCTGCTGAGGTTTGAAAATCTCTAGATTTAAAAACTGTACCTCTTTTAAAAACCAGGCTGTTAACGAACCAAAAATCACAGCATCATTGGCTTCTCGGTCATGAAAAGGGATCCCTATGTTGCTGACATCCCAAAATTCGCCTTTCCACTTGTCCAGATTCCAGGCTGCTGATCCTATATCAAACAGTAAGACATATGGGCTGCCCTCTATCAGCCATCTTCCAAAAAAGACCTATGGGAAAGAGGCAAGGACATAAGCAGAAAATGTTAAAGTGAATGTAAAAGCCAGTTAGCATAACTTTTCATCCATCAAATCTTAAATATTTTACATAAGGAATACATGATCATAGTCCTACGTACCCAGGATTTGTGGTTTTCCTTGCAAAATACACGGAATAATACTAGACGAAAGGCAGGAGTAAAAGAAAACTACGATCTTCAGGAACATTTTGTTTTTAAGACTTTCAATTTAGATTGTCATTGCAATATTAACTTTTTTCATGAAAAAAAAACTTAAGACTATACTTGGTTGAATAATGAGGTCTTATGTTCTTATTGAAGCATCTATGTCATTTTTGTTCTTATTTCAAAATTATTATTTTCTTTCAGTCAGATTTGTCACCAATCTTTTGCCATTTATGCTAGATTACTGGTGATAGATTTTGTAGGACAGGTGCTTAGGACCTCTATCTATCATGACATTTCCTCATTCTGCCCAAGCAGCACAGTTGATGCCCTTTGGCAGAGCGGAAGGATCAATCAGAAGGTGTAATAATACCTAAAACCATGTCAGCCTAAAAATAAAGCTTTCCTGCTTTATTTGCATCAGTATAGTTAAATATCTCCAACAGTATTTAGAACTCCACTGCTATAACCTACCTGCCCAACCAGGAGAGTAGGCTGAACTGTCATAAGGCGACACAACACAGCTGGGCCTACACTACAGATTGTACCAGTCTGCACAGTCAAATTATTTCACATTAATTCTACCATCAAAATGGCTATAGCAGCAGAGACATATTAACCAGGAAGAACGCAGTGCTACAGGGAGGCTAGTGCAGTTAATACACCATGCGGAGGAATCTTTTATGCCACTGTTCAATCTCTTGTCATTCACCAACGCCTGGGACCTCAGAAGTTGAACCTAGCCCTGATGTTCGAATGTGCTGAATAGAGGTCAAGTCTTGAAAACCATGAGATGAATGCTCTTAGGCCTGTTTGCACAAAAAATACAGGTTGGAACAAAGACAGGTGTGTGAAGGAGGGTCAGCTCCTTATGTTCTTATTTTCAGGCTATCAGGTTTCTTATTCAGGAAAATGAGGTTAAAGAGCCAGGAGTCTGTGTGAGCCCAGGCTTCATCTAAATATGGAGTCAGGCTATGGCAAGGAACACACCTGACCTGAGAAGTCTGGAAGCGTTCCTAGGTCTCCTGGTTTAAAGGGATCCATTGTGATGCATAAGCAAAATCCAGACACAAATGTTAATAGGATAAGTGCAGCTCCTGGAAACTAGAGCGTCATTATTAGAGATCAAAGCTATACTTGACGTACCTGGGACAGATTTGCTGCTATATATGAATACTCCAGCAGCACCACGCACATGTTAGGCTGGCAGAGTTGGCCGATTAAATTGAATGTATTGCTGGAACAGCATGAAGTGTATATATAGCATTGCAATTAATCTGCCCCACAAGTCTTCAGCTGTTTTCCGAACAAAGGAGTGTTACACAGCTTGCAGACACATCTCTTTGTAAGCAACAGAGGCGACACGGAAAACTTGATCAATACCTTATGAAAATTTGATTAGAAATAAGAAACGGCAGTTAGATTAGACCTTTTAGTTTGAACCTCAGCTTGAACAATGCAAGCATCACACAATGTTAGTGTCCCCAACAGACACTTTCCAAGGCTATGGCACATCTATGTCCAACAATACGCTTCTACATAACATGCAATAGGGCATTAGATCCTAAGAACAGCAGAACTGCTGTTACAAAGAGAGATAACACATCACCAGTGCCACAGCTGGTGGCAGTCCAAGAAGTTTATGAATTTCTGCATTAAAGTGTGTCATGCCCCTCAGCAACAGAACCTTGTAAGAATGCTTCCTTGCTGCTGCCTCAATGCTTTTCACATTTGTTCGGCACACATTACAAGCAGATAATTTTTCCTCCTGCCAAGTAGCACCTCTATGGGACTCAATGCTGAAACAGACTGAAGGTGAGTTCTAGATCTCCGATGAGGACCTTCAAGAAAGGAGGTCAGATTGAGCATGTGTTATCTTCCACCCATTTTCAGGTAATCAGTTGTTCTCAAGGCTGCAGCTGCTTGCAGCTTAGTAGCTTGCCCATCAACAGAGTAGATTCTATTCTGTTCAGCAGATCACCTTTATAGGAAGAAGTTATTCCTAGTTTACTGTTGGAGAAACTGAGTCACAGAGAGGCTATGAGGTTTGATTGAGATCACACAGAAAACACTGGTTAAAAACTGTGTAAGAAGCACAGATGAACTCACTCCTTCTGTTGTGGTTTAACCTCTTTTCCTAGGGAGCAGACAGCTACTTGCACTGATCTGAGGAAGCAGATTCTTTGTCACTTGGGTGCTTTTCTTATGTCCACCTGTGGTTTGTCCCTTTCTGGCTTTCAACTCAATATAAAGCTACACAAGAAAAATTGTGAGCTAGTGGAATACTTTTCTCTCTCCAGCACAAGAACACCAACTGTAAAGTAAGGGTTCAGTCAAAGTAAGGTCATATTATATCTACTAAAATCTCACTGTATTTAGAGACTGGATAAATAAGTCATTAATCCAATTAAGTAGACTTGCAGATAAATGACTGTTAAAACCTGTAATTGGATAAACTGGTTCTTCCTCAAAAATAACCTTTAATGAATTGTCTTTGCTGTTCTAACAGTGGATTCTGAGCCTTTCCCATTGTGACATTGACCAGGACTGCTGTGTCAAGTGGAACGGCAAGAGCATTAACCAAAACTGTAATCTCCTCAGAGTCAGCTTTGTTGCCCTGGGAAGCAGTAGCACATCTGATTTACCTGGCACCCTTGGCTTTTCATGGTGTCCATTGCCTTCTTAACTGCGGGGTTTGGAGGCTCACATGCTTCCACCTGAGTCTTCACGTTGTGCTCAAAATAGGGACCAACCAGAAAATAGTTTTCACCCCATTCATCTGCCGTAATTTTGGCTTTTGTCTGGATCACGGTGTAAATGCCTCCCACTGCAAAAGAATAGCACAAAGAACAAAAAGTAGAAAGGGGCACAGGCCACAAAGCTCTGGAATAAGCTCCAACCCACCTGTGGATCAGATGCACCTCTAGTTAAATCACTCCACATATTCACATTTTAAGTGAAACCGAGACTCTATCAAATAAATAGAACTTCAGTCTCTTAAATGGAATTAGAGCTTCACGGTTCAATTTAGGAGTATGCACTGATAGCAGACCACGTATAATTCTTAAATGACAATTTAACACTTTGCTTACTCCTAGGTGACTGCGTATGGCTTCCCTGAATTTCTCCTCTGATCTCAAATGGGTGCTTTCTGTCTTTCACTGTTATTTTTATCTCATCTGTGATTTTTTAAAATTTCTTTTAGGTGTTCGAACTCACGCCACAAATGTTCAACCAATATATTATTTTATTCTTGTGTTATTCCCCACTTTTTCGATCTTGAAATCTTTACGTTCAGATCATGGGATTCAAATCCTGTGGCTCATGCTTCCACTCTCCCATGCCTAATCTTGATTCTACTACATCCCAAGTACAGCCTTCTGCTTTTTTATTGCAGCAGTTATAATTTTTAAACATTTTTTGTGATGTGGAAATACATGTGGTGAAAACTGAGCTGGCACTTCCAGCTTGTTTTACGCAAATCACTGAGAGAAGTTGAGGGACTGATGGATTTCATTGACTACCGACTATAAAAATTGATTTAAACCAACATCCTCGAAGTATAAGGTGTCATGTTCCGTCACCATTCTAAAGAGTTGTTAAAGTTGGAAGGAATGTAGCCTACACTGTCAATATAAATGCCTGCAGCACCTTCCACCAAAATATTGTCCATTTTAAAAATAAACACAATATGAAATGTATAAGAGAATGCAATAACATCATCCCCTGACAAGTCAGTACAGATCTAGCTAGTCTTGCACATGGTATACAAGCTTCACTTGGCTGCTCTTCCTCACAGTTTTTCATAGCCAGCCTCGTAATTCATGCATTGGCAGGGCAGTCTTGCAAAGCCCCCTTTGCCACAGGACCCACGGTGCCAGGCAGCGGGCATTCCACCACCACAAATTCAGAAGAACAGCAGCGCATGCCTGAATCCAGAAAGTGGAGGGGAAGGCAAGGGAAGAGAAAAATCAGAGGCTAGGTAGCTGCTGTACAGCAGAGACAAGTTTAGCATAGCTCCAGTGATTTTAAAGCATGGCAAGATAAATGAAGCTCAACAGGTACAAGCAAACAACAAAGGAAGCAACAGAAAGGGAATTAGTGTTCCTACTTAAAAATGTCATCCTCCACTGAATCTGAAAACATTCAGTAATACACCAGGCCAGAAGGCTGTGATATGCCTTTCAGCAATGACATCGAAATTACATGAGAAGTGAGCACTGCAAGTTGCCAGTGACTGACAGCAGGTACTCCAGACTTACTTTTTAAAAGGTACTGGGGCATCCAGAGGTGTCAATGCACTGCATCCAACTGCATATGGCAAGAACCTTCAGAGGTTACCTGATTCTCCTTAAAAATCCACAGCAAATGACCACCATTTACAGTAGAGTAGCTGAAGTTGCTCAGCACTTTGGGAGATTAGTTCCCAAATTAATTAAACTGTATCACCTGACAACTGCAGAAAGCCTTCTGCCAAGCCTGGTACCTTGCAGCCCTGAGGAACTGAACAACAGAGCTATGTTTTTAATTGTGCTCCTAGAAAAGAAATTGTGCACTTAAAATCCTTTTCTTTAGAAATATTCCATTTGTTTTCAATGCTTGAAGGGTCCCTAGCCCTACTATTTTTATGTCAAGATGTATCAGGATTCTAGGTATTTCACAAAGAAACACAAACGCAGTCCCAATCTCCCAGCTTGCTGTGGAGTTATGATGAATTATATATAATTGCTACCCTACGTCATAATTTAAGACCTAAGATGACAAGAATCTTCCAGGTATATGTTCCTAAATCAAGCTCACAGTTCAAGAGTTTCACATCACATAGACATGGAACTGCAGAAGGAAATCTATGCATAAGACTATTCTTCTCCACTTCATTAGGACCAGAAAGATAAGAAACTAACTTATAGCCACCATATTCTACCATAGCTGCTCTGGACAGGGATTTAGAGAAATCTTAGGTATATATGCCCTCCAAGTTCCTCTGCTCACAAGCTGAAAGAGACTACTTGAATAAGTTGGATTCAGATAAACATATAATTTTAATTACATAAGACAAGTCAGAATGTTCAACCCACAACGTGATGCAGTAACGATGACATGTCTGTTCTTATGGGGTGGTGGGTATGTCATATAAGGCATAAGGCACTGCAATCCAACACGGATAAATAAGGGGCTTGGTAGAAATCTCAGTCATGACACTAGCTGGTTTTAACTGGCGGAAATACTGAGCTTACAATAAGGAAAGACTTTTATGCAGAGCAGCCTGGTGACCCCAGAAAAAGAGAAAATATCTGCTGGCAAGATGAAAGATACTAAATAACATGATAAAGCTGTATATGACTAGAGTGGTGCAAAGCTCTTTCCCCACTATCACAAGAGTGGAGATCAGCCTCTTTCACACTGCAGGGCGTTCAGCATTGGGATCAGCAAGGTAGCCGAGTTTCCACAGCTATTAATTTTAAGATTCATAAGAAAGCTGCAGCTCAGGAGCTGAATAGAGCCTGGAACTTTGTTTTGTATAGCCAACAACCGAGTGTTTCTTTTCACAACGTTTTGCATAGGATCACTGTGTGTCCTAAAGTGTGCCCAGCCAAAGACGTATGGAAGGCCTGTTCAGAGCGAAAGAGTGGAGAGTATGCTGTGCTCTGCCATCGTAATCTGTTGCACAGCAAGGTAAAAAACATTTCAGGGCACTGATTTGCCTGAAATGCAATGAAAAGTACTTAGGATAAAAACAAAAGAGTACGTTTCACGGACTGGGAAAACTCTTCAGAAGATAGCTGCGATAAAACCTCTGGGTTACCTCGTCCCAAAACTTGCTTTTGTCTTCTCCGTTACTGTGGAAATATGACTCACAAAGCATGTCTCTGCATAAGCTTTAATTGACAGGGGAGGGAAAGTATGCAAGTGAAACTATGTGTGTGGAAAGTGTTGGGCATAACTTAAAAAAAGACATCTTGAGGAGAACAGAGCAATGTCTACAATAATGTATTGACTTTGAAATTACACTTTTCCATAGCAAATTCAAGGAACACATTATATATCATTAAGAGATAGCTTGTATCTCCTCAGTCACTTTGAATTCCCTGGAAATACCTGTGCCAGTAAGCAATGCAGTACATATTCTACTGAGTAATGGAGTATGGGTTTACATATTCACTTGAAGCCTAACAGAATTCTCAAATTACTCCCAACAATTTGGTAAACCTCCTTATTCTTCTCTAATATGATGGTTTAAGGTTATATTATAAACAGAAAACCTTTCCAAACAAAAGGACTCCCATGATGTTGCAAGTTTCCATATGCAGCCTCTGAAGTTTTGTACTTTGAAACAGGTTTAAAAACAAACAGTAAAAGACGAAATGGGAAATAGATGCAGAATCAGGAGAGATCAGATCCAGAGAATTGGTTCGGATCATCACAAACATGGGGAATTAGTAGTAAAATGTGGATACAGGGCTAGTTTAGTGTTCTGATCTCCACCAAAATTCTTAATTCAAATATCTTAAGTTTTAATAATTTTAAAATGTCCTTGAGAGAAAAATATTTCTATTATTTATGTCTTTTTAAAACGTGTTTTTAACTTTTCCACCAGAATAAACGAAATCAAGCTAAAAAGGTAATCAACAACAAATCTTTTTCCCCATTTATTTCCTTTCCATTCTTCCTGTTTTTCCAGGGAAAAATAAGCTGGTATAGAAAGCAGAACTAAAATGTTTGGGAAAGAAGGATTTTGTTGATCTAAGAGAAGTTTGACTTTTTTTTAGTGACCTCTTAAAAATAGAAGATGAAAACAAAATATTTTTTCAGAAAATATTACATAGAATCATTTTTAAAAGTTTGAATGTTTTCATATACATTACCACTACTATGAATTTGTCTAAAGGAGTTATCTGCATCACTCCAGCCATTTTCTTCTTCCCTCATTTCAAGTCCTGGTGCATTACTCCTTTTGTATATTTAAAATCCAAGCAGCAATTAGAGCACTCCAGGATAGACATCAGAACTATCTAAATAAATAAAAAGTCTGTGAGTCAAGAACAGTCTCCCAATATTGTATCACTACTGAGGAGAACATTAGGCAGAAGTGGAGATCTAACCATACAACTGGAGATCTCTGTGCAAGATCTCATATGTAGGTGTGCTCTTTCTGCCACAAGCTGTTATATGGAAAGATGCATTCCCAATGCTTTTGTAACCTGATGAGGAAGGGTCCACGACTTCCAGGATTACCCAGCAATTTCACTGACAAAAAACATCTTCTGGAGCTGTGATCCTTTGAGCACGGAATTGCCAAAACTTCTCGAAACTGCCAGAGATACCCACCATTCATTTTACTTGCTCTCCCATCCACCCCACGTTACAGAAGGACAGAGGGAAGGAGCAGCAGAAACCAAAAAGGAAGGAGAGAGACAGGAAGCGAAGCTATGCAAGTGAGACAGAGACAAGTGGAGGTTGTCGCTGATCGCCGAGTCCTTCCCCACACACCTTTACTATACAGAGACAGAGGATCAGGGTGCTCCTGGGGCTCTTCAGCTTCTTTGCTACGGCCTGACCGGGCCACTCTGAAGGCACTAAAGCTTTCCAGAGGACCATGGCTGCCACAGAATCCAAGAGAGCAGCGGGACCCCAGATTCAGGATTCAAATTGACTTCACTGCCACAATTACTAGTTACACCAACTATCCTTTCGCCCCTTCCCCTCAGAATGTGTCTCTGATCTATAGACATGTGACAAAATTGAGCTCGAAGTTATTTTTTCCTAATGTTTTGTTGGATTTTTATTTATTTATTTACTGATCGAGTGAGTGCCTGTTGAGCTATCTGGGAGCCATTTATAGAGTAAGGTTGTAAAACAGGTGAAAAAAAACCCAGCATCTTCAGATAGCAGGTGTTTTTCATGTATTTTCTGGCTATGTTTGTGGCCAGGATTCATCAGACGATAGTAGTTCTCTAAATTCTGTGAAATTATGGCATTCCAAACATATTCTGAAATAATACTGAAACACTGAAATTTATGACAGATGTCCACATTACAGAAGCTATTTTTGTGTGCATCATCCCCAATGCACAGGATTTTGTTTGAGATTGATTTGACGTTGACATACCACCCCACTCTAGAAATACAGAGCTTTGATGCTGTGCTTATGCCAAGTTTATGCCAGCACATTGCCACTCCCCAAAGTGTTCAGGTGTGTCACAGATTGCATCATTCACCTTCTCCCAAGGAACTTGCATCATGGAAAGATGTTTAACACGGAGGTAAAATGCTGGTCCTACTGACTTCACTGGATTCAGGATTTAATTTCCAAGAGTCCAAATTTTCACCAGAGAAACGGTACATAGAGCTCTGCTCCAGGGAGAGCTGAACCAAGGTTTGTTTTTAGCAGTCTTCATTCCAATAGGGATGGAAAAAAATGTTTAGGATTCATCTACCAGTGACTCTTGAGCTAATCTGTTCACAGCTGAATGATGATACAAACTGGCTGTTTGCCCAGCATTTTTAAGCATTCTTCTATTTTCTATCTAAAAGCTGTTAGTAGTACAGGAGGACAATCTAATCTAAATATTACTGGAATGATTTTAAAGACATTTTTATAGAGCACAGACCAGATCTTGAACATTCTCAGCCCTTCTCATTAACGTATGAAAAAATCCACTAAACTACAGCTAACTGTTTTTCTAACTTAAAGAATTAGACTGCTCCCCCCTACCCAGATTAAATACTCCCGTTTTCAGTGAGCAAACATTTAAAAGAGGATGGAGCCTGTGGAAAATGCCCAGGACTGCTGCCATTACTCCTGCAATGGCCTTCGGCTGCTCCCTGTTGACAATTTCTATATGTCGGGCTTCAGACGCAAGACCTACGTAGCTTATAGCCACATGGTTTGTGCTCCTGTCCTTAAAGTTTTTATTGGTCTTCATGTTATGGAGGAAAGAAAACCAGTCGTCTTTTCCAATGTGCACAGAGATATGAGCAGACCTGGCTCTACCGGAGCATGGTGGCCAGGCGAGAAGGGGAAGGGTGAGAAATGTTGAGCTTCTCCATGATTACCACCAGATCATGTGGCACTGCAGTGCGCTGGGGCCCTTGCCTGCCTGCTTTTTTCTGCTTCTGCCACAGAAACACAGCAGATCCCCTTCACAGTATGGGTCTTGCCCATCAGTGAAGAGCCAAATAAAGTGAGGAAAATCTTGCAAAACAAACTACACTTTTCTCATTTCTTTGGCAGGGGACTTTCAATGCAAGATGATTTCAATGTTGTGCTTGTTGTAGGTGGCAAGTTCCTGTTCAGATGACTTGAGGGAGGGGGGAGGGAGAATGACACCAGCAAATGAGCCTTTTTTATTTCTCATTCTCTTCTTCAGTTACCTTATCTTTGCTTGCTCCAGGCAGAGAAGAGGAGAAAGAACAGTAACTGAGATGCCCGTGCCTTCCAACACATATGTCAGAGGTTGTCACTTAGCACAGGCAGCAGCCAGGACAGAGAATATAAAAAGGAAGCATGGAGAAATAGAAAGCTCTGCCTTGTTAGAGCATGTGTTAAATGATCTAGACTTAAAAAAGAGAGACACCTTCACTGTGCCAGCTGCTGAGAAAGAAGCGGTGAGACTCTGGAAATAACAGATACTTGTAGATCTCTGAGCACTGAACTCCTACAACTGAGTTGTCCTTCCCTACAGCTGCATCTCATGCCTCATTATCAACCAGCACCTTCAGGGAAATCCCAGTAAACGCTTGCTCCGCATGGGCAGCCTGGCACATGAAGACCCTCTCACACTACGTAATCAGATGTGCTCCAATTTGTAGGACCCCTTCATCATCCTCAGACTCCAAAGAAGAATATATTTAAGAGGTTCAGAAAACAGCTCAGCACCTGTAAAGGGCACTGTTTACAGGTGTGGGAATAGATAGCCATCTGTGAGCTTTGGGAGCATGTTCCTCACAGGGAAGAAGACATACAGCCTTATTGTCATTGCCACAGAGAAATAGAGGAACCGCTAAGAAGCGGCACTGGTCAACGAGGAAATGTACTCATAGCCAAGCACCTGGTGATGCACACAAAGACTTGAACTCTCTCCTGTAGGCAGCAGCAGCTCTCCACCACCTCAGCAGTGCAAACCAACTTCACGCTGAACTACTCTGATACACCTTTGCATTGCCAGAAAGGAAGAAAGAAATCTTCATGTTAAAGGCTCAAAATTAGCTTGTCAGGCAATAAACCCAGCTAATGCTTATCTTTCCCTCTATACTAGGAACATATACAGCAACATTAAAACTAAAACGTGTAGCAGTTCTAAATCTATGTGGGGTCAGCCTACTTAGTCAAATAAACAGTTCTTCCTTCTGCTAAAGGAGGCGGGATGTATACAGTGTAAGCTATTATTTCCTAAGCCTGTGTATCTGCTGTGATGACTCTCCCTGTATTTTGTTGGCTACTCTCTCTCCTAAGAAACACAGTGCCCTAACATTTTCTAAGAACTGTTTATAAAAGTTATGTCGCCAGGGAACAGTATCTCACCACGTGACTTACACGTTCAATTGCCTGGAAGATACAGGAAAAAACCTTCAATATCAAGAATTTACCAGAAAAGTAAGCTGAAATAGGCTTATTAAAGAGGTTTTGCACAGATGTTTCCAGTGAAGGTTGGTTAATGGAAACTTTGCGCAGAGATCCGGTTCTAATAAAGAAATTGTTTGCCATGACTAGGTTCAGTCAGCCCCATGTGCATATATGGGTTTGGTAAGTGGCGTAATTAATAGCACCTTTTTTTTAAACTAACTGTGAATAAATATCCGCTCTCATAAATATTAACTCTATCATAAAATGTGAGAATAATAAATTTTAGCTGTGTCAGTTGATTTGGCTTCAGGTAAATCAACAAGAGCTATATGGGTGATTAAATGATTCACTGCGTTTTGTTCATACACAGAAAGACAGATAAATCTAACCGTGTTTTACTTTTTCTTAAACAGATTGCGTGGTATCTATAACCAGTGGGTCCAGATGACCAGAAAATACACATCCTATGGAGTTCAGAGACATTAGCGGGAACACCTGAATTTGCTAGATTGCTGCTGCCATCTGCTTGCCAGTGCCTTACTTATCATGCACGCTGCAAAAGTAAAGGCTGCATGCTCCAAGTTCTGACAGTAGTAAATTAAATCAAAAAGCTTCACTGAAGCTGCTGAAAAATAAGCCCACAGGGATTCAAAGTGCAAAAGCTACTCTGTACTACCTCCGTGTATTGATACTCCTGACCACCCTATAAAAGAGCAATGTAAAATTGCACTGCAGATTAAATACCAGAAGCTATCACAGAATAGTAATTCCAGTTTCACCATGGGGATAAACCCTAGCACTGTCTGGTCCTCTCACACACATTTTCCCTTCAGAGTTAAAATCTTAGCAGATTACAGATCCCCTCTCCTGACTAATCTCTCTATTTATCTGCCAGGACAATAAGACACATGAGGTCAATCATTTACTCATACTAACTCACTTTTGTGGCAAAAGCAGAGCCTTTTCCCCCTTGGTGAATGACACCTACCTGAAAGGGGATGATTTAATGAGTGAATTAGAAATGAAGGCAGAAAGATCTTAGCATAACAAGCAGCATGCACTTTGCCAAAGAAGCTGCGCACAGTGAACAGATTTTCAATCTGTACACGTGCACAAAGCGTGAAGTCCCTGCCTGGCACCACCTGTGTTTGCAAAGACCAGTCCAAAAGGCTTTCAGCTGGCATAAAGATTGCTGGTCATTGACATCTGGCTTTTTTTCAGTGGCTTCAATGCAGCTATGTTTATTTATACCTATTTCAAATTTGGCCTCTTCTCCAGACTGCTATAGAAGGCTGAGGGAGACTGCTGCACTGCTCTGAATCTGATGTCTGTTTTACAGCTCATTTTCATGCATTACATTCCCAAGTGAATTTGCATGGAAGGTAAAATATAAATATGTACAAAGCAACATCTATATATCCATACATCTGCACACCCAGGCGTAACATTTAGATGTTTGTTTAAACAACCTAGCCCTGGTGGTGAAACCCGTAAAGACACACAGACGTCCCGACTATACGCTCATCCCACACAAGCACAGGCAGAGGCAGCCCACACGCAGCACGCACGCTTACACACGGAGGCCACATTCACTCCTTCCAGTACAACAGCTCTGCAGCCCACTTTTCCCCAGTCTCCCCTTAATGCCTTTCATGTCCAAGTCCTTCATGCCTCCACCCACTCCCACAAAAACAGGAATACCAACTCCTAAGAGTGTTGTACAAACCTTTGTTGGCAACTTCCCAAGAAACTTCAAAGAGCAACAAATCCTCCACTGGCAGGTCTTCATCTTCCCACTGAGGAAGCCCGTTAAGAGAAGTCATGGACAGTGATCTAGCCAGTGGCATTTTCTTCAGCCCTCGAATGCTCACCACGCAGGCCACAACAGTTTGCAAATGTCCAGTTAATGTAGCGGTTCTCCGCAGTTCTGGTTGGAGCAGTCTGCCAGTGTGCTGGGCTCCAAGGAGAAAATTTATTCAGATAGCTGGGAGCTAATGGGTTTAAACTGTCTGACCACCAGCATTAAATTGGCTCAGTGAAATCCTCAGGGCTTGAGAAGCAGCTGCTGGCAGAAGTAAGAATTTAAGACTGACCTGAGAAAGGTCTTGACTGTTTTGGGGCCAGGCCTCTTTCTTTTTCTTCTCTTAGAGGGAGGTAAAAAATGGTTTTTTGCTCCTCAGCCACAGCATTCAGTATCTACCACCCCAGGGACAACTGAAACTCAACGGTTGTAAATTCAGTACTGCCCTGAGCAAACTCCAGCAGGGAGGACACTTTGAGTTCACCACCTGATTTGAGTCCAGCCCCTGAGTCCTCCCCTCGAGATACACCCGCCCATTAACACCCACGAACCTTCTCTATCCGCTGGCCACTTACAAGCCACGTAAGTAGACTTGTCCTACATCATGTCTCTTACATTACTTGCCGCCAGGTTAAACACTGTTACCTAGTCTTGTGCAGTTAATCAGTCCATAAGCATGACTTTACCTCATACCCTTCCCCCACAATTAATTCCAGCTGCGTCCCCAGGGCTCTGTGCAAGCTCTTGGCTTCATTCTGCTGTTAAGCAACCCCGCAGCCCTGAAAGCTTCTACAAACAGAGCTACAAAGGCTCTATCCCTACTTTGGCACACACTTCAGCTCTCCCTGCAGTCCTGGTCCCTGATTTTCTGCCTGGTTTCTCTTTTTCTATGCCACAGCTCTTTTCTGGCCTCTGGGCCTATGTCCTCTGCCCAGGGAAACTAGTAACTCAGGGAACAGTATATCCCCATCTTGCTCCAGAACAGAGCCGGGACGCTGCAAGCGGTGCACACACATCTGCAGAGATGTTGGTCCCTAACTTGCAACCCGAGATCCTCAAAGCTCCCCAGAGCAGCTGCCTGCTTGGAAGATGCTTATGGGCTTACGCATCTGGTTGAGAGGCCACTGGCTCTGGGACAGCTGTGTAAGTTGAATCTGATTCTGAGCTTAGAGAACAACCTGCCCCAAATTCGCAGCTCAGCAGTGAGCAAATCTCCAGGTGAGATCCAGGGCATCTCTGGCACTGTGATGAATAACATTGCACCAGCAGGCATGGACCACATAGTAGCACAGAGGGAAAGGCTTCACGGCAATTGGTTTAGAAGACAGGCAACCCATCTGCATAAAAGTCTCCTAGACATAATATAATACAGCTGAGCCTACTTTAATGGCTAACCATCCCCCAAAAGACTTGCTCTTCCACTTTCACTTCCCATGCCCTCTCTGCACTTACAGCGGTCAGACCCATCCCTGAGCTGATGGATACAGCTCACCAAACTAACCTAAGGACGCAGAAAACTTTTTTGCCAAGTTAGGAACTAGAGCTGTCTCAGCAAAGAGCCTGGCAAGAGGGGATGGAGCAGCACAGCTGGGTGTAGTTCCTACTGCCTGGAGTAGGTAGGAAACCATATCATCCTATAGGTTAAAAATCATGTTACTTAAAAGAAAAAACGGTAATATTTTAAGGCTCACTTCCTTGCTGAACCATCAAATCTGCCCGAGTCTCGTTTTCACACTTTTCCCTGGAAACCCTGAGGCCGAGGCTGAAAGCCGCCAGTCTCACAAACGCCACCTCAGGCGACACGTGGAGACGGTAAGAACAAAGCAGCCCACAAGCCCGTCCTAATCCCAGGGGCTTTCGTCAGCCCCGTGTCAGCGCGTACACCACAAAACCAGGCATTTCGAAGGGGACGGCAGGGGCGGTTAGCCCACGCCCGGCCCCGCTCATCGCGGCCGACGGACCGAGCCCCGCAGCCGGGGGCTGCTTCCCGCCCCGCTGGGCCTCGCGCCGTGTCCCTCTGCCCACCGGCCGCCATGTCAGGGCGCACCCGCCCCTCGGCCTGCTGCACCTACTGCCATGATGGCGGGCAGAGGAGCGGGGGTATCTCCCCGGCAGAGCTGTCGGTGGGTTTGTTTGTAGTGTTAGGCGGTACATACGAACTTTTATTTAGCAAAAATGAGACCCCTGCCAGGGGAACTCGTGCCTGCTCACTCTCATTACGAGTAACTACGGCAAGCTGCAGCTTCCCAGAGGGAAACTGGATGGGTTTGCAGGCGCGTGGGCCCCGACGTCGCTGCTGGCTGGGTACCACTGTCCTCCACCGTCCTTTGAACCTCATTCAAGATGCTGAAGTCAAACTGCCCACGCCAGTTACCTCTCCAGGCATGACAAGCAAACCTGTCGCAGTGATGCCAGATAAACAGTGGCACTGGCTCACTTGACAGATCACTGTCCCTAAGCATTCAAAAGCCTAAAAAACATGCAAATAAACAATGAACTGAAGTTGTAATAATAAAATTGTTAAGCTCTTTATATAGTCTGTGGTTTTCAGTTCTTGGGTGTCACGTTTTTCCAGCTTTTATAAGGAGAGGATACTTCTTTTACTTTTTGAATTTGACAAAAGACGGTATAACCCCTTAAACCTTGGCAAACGGGTTTGAAAGAATCGTCAGATACCACAAGATAATTTCACAAGCACTGGCAACACCACCATTCGGTGAACCTGGGCAACTCACGTAACACATCTTTCGCACGTTGGAGATAATACTCAGGGTTTTTTTAAATGTGTCTGAACTGATGAAAAGTGCTCAATAGGACTATGAATGTTAGTATTCCTTCATATTCAGAGTACATTTCATTTTATCCAATCTGCATGTCTTAAAGAAGCTTTTTTTCACACAGTGCCATCCCCGATTCCTGCTCTTTTGTTATTAGTGAGGGAAAAGCATATGAAGGGCCTAGGAAAGGTTAGATCCGACAGTCAGTCCAAAAACTTTCATCCCTGCAAATGCTCTTAATTGCTAGAGGGCAAAGGGCCCTATTCATTATATTTATGGCCTGCCAGGATTAAGCGTGGGGTCTCTGCGATGCACACAGTTGTGTATGTTTAGTGCCGTAAAGGAGGTAATGGCTGTAGCTGTGCGCCTACAGCAAAATGAGCTCGCCAAGAGAAAAGCTATATTCTGACAGCAAGAACAGGCAAACTTAGCACCGACAGTGGAGGGGCAGTCACCAAGAGCAGAAAGGAACAGAAGAGCAGCCACTAGCTATCCTCCATGTGAAGTGCAAGTGGTGAAAGGGACAATCTGCTAACACTAGAACGTGTCGTTTTTGTCATAGAGACAGGGAAAGGTTGTGGCTACGATTGTACAGTTTGTTCCTTTTTAGCAAACCAGGGGACAACTGCTGAAGTGGGACCAAAATAGTAGGTTTTAAAATATAACATTGATTAAAATATTTTCCAGAAATCTGGAAACCAGTGAAACTGGTTTTGAGTCTGGCCTATCTAGGTTCCCATGTTGCTCTTATCACCAAAGTATACAAATGCCCTCTGGTAATGCATTATTCAGTGTGACTCAATTCTGCCAGACATCATTTATTATCCCACTAAATTCTTTTTCAGCCCACAGAAGTGAAATAATGTTGCTTGCGAGGATACTGGACAATAAGAATGCTGACTCCGCAAGGTCTTTGAAGAGAAATCATACAAAGTGTGTATTGTTTTTCCCAAATTTCCTACAGTTCTCTGGAGATAGCAATGCAGGGACAATGCTGTGCATTCTGCCCTACATAAAACTCTTTTTGAAACTTTTGCCTCCCAGGACGTTGTCTTCTCTGCACGCTTTGATCTAATGCTGTCTATTGGGGTAGAGCAAAGTTTTCTGCAAACACTAACTCAGCACATCACCCCGGGAAGTGAGTCATGGATGTTGTCTTCACACCACAGGCCCGCCAGAAGAACCACTTCAGACAATCTTTTTTGTTGGAAAATCAACTTCAGCCTCCCCGGCTGCAAGTGCGAAAGTGCGTGTTAGGGGAAGAAACGCTCTCAACGTGTGGGAGTTTATAATGAGGTAACTGTCTAGGTCTGGCTTGTTCTAAACATAACTGCGGTTTCAAGGTTTGCCTACGTTAACTGTAGGGGGGAAAAAAAAAGCATAGATGTTAAAAATGCTCATACACATTGAGGCAAATTGTACAGGAGGAAGCTACAATGGTTTGTAGCAATGACTGGTGTACACACGCTGTACTTCAGAAATAGAGCAGTAGGTGGCACTGATGGTATTAACATGAGTTCGCCGGTGTCTATTGTTTTGTCTGACCAAAAGGCTGTTTTATCCCTCTCACTAAATGCTGGTTCATGACAAACCTTAGTTTTATGAAGCCTGTGGAAACAGAGTCAACAGCAACACAATCAGCAAAATGGGGGATCTCCATCTGGAAGAAAAGCCCTTGCCTCAGGCTGAGAGACACAGGGAAGAGAGAAAAAGAAGAGCAATGACGGGATCCTTAATAAAATGAGCTCTTAGTACCCAGCAGTGTGGGCTGCCAAGGCTAGAGCAACCCTTATGAAGAATCTTAAGGAACTTAGAGATAGAGGCTGAGCTTTATTTTGTACGCCTACAAGTAATATCCACTCTTCTAAAAGGACACATTACAGACATTTGTTTGCTGAGGATGCTGTTGACTTAAAAAAAGCGGTATGATAACATTCTATTTCTATTTTTTTTTCTTCACCCCAGATTTTTGTTCCCTTCTTTCTTTTCCCCTTTTGAACTTCATTGTGATATTTTCTGTCTTCAGTTACCTAACTTTTAAAGGTATTCCTTTAATCTCCATGTGGTGTAGCTGTCTTTTTGACCCCACTGGAAGGCCTCGCTGTTTGTTAGCTTTGCAATTTATGTGTGCTAATGAACCTCCCTAGAAGCATTTTAGAAAAAAAAATCAGATTTTTACTTAATTAAAGAAAATCTTCTCCAGAATTTTAAGGTAGAAATGTTTATTTTCTATGGCTTGGTTTTGTGATACACAACCACAGCAGGATGT